TTCCAATGTTTTCCTTATAAATAATCATGTCAGTTGTCATTCCATTATTACTTTCAACATTTAATCTAAATTATGTTTACCAGCTTGGTTTGATTTGGCTTTTTTGTTGTGGTTGTTGTTTTTCTTTCAAGTTCTTAACTGAATTTAAAAGTCAAATTTTTTCATAAAGAGTTAAGTTAATGGAAGACGGAGGCAGAGATTAAATCAGGAAGAATCACTGATCAAGGGTGCTTGGAATTCTTATGAATACAAATAACCCATCAAGGTTAATGAGGTTCAACCTGGGTTTAGAAGAAAGGAAAATACGCTTAGTATTTTCCACACATTTACAGATTTAAGTTCTTAGGTAGAACTTGAAGCACAGATTACCCAAAATGAAACATGGTTTCCTTCCATTTGTGTTTTCTAAGAGATATTTTCACTGTCTTCACCAATATAAAAAAACTGTTTCAAATACATACTGTTGAGAATATGTATTTGAAACAACAAAAGCTAATGAAATAGTTAGACAAAACAAGGATTTCCCCAAAGATTGGGAGTTCTTACAGAGACCAACGTGCTTTTCAGAAGTGGCTCTGAGCTCTTTCTGAGTAAGTATGCTATGAGGACCCTAGTTCGAACCCCCATCACCGACATAAAAAGCTGGAGACAAGATCATTGACGCTTACTGACCTCTAGTCCAGTTCCAGGTTCAATGACCCTTCCTCAAGGGAATAAAATGGAGAGTTATAAAACAGGACATCTGATGTCCTCTGCTGGCATAGGCACACACAATTAACATATACACACGTGCATATGGCACTGACACACGCACACATGAGCTCGCACGCACATAAAAACACACATACACCACAGCAAGAAAGAAGGAAACAAACACATAAACAAAGAGGCTGAACAACAAATGCTAGCTTTCAAAATTACTAAGAGTTTTCTATAATAACCTTCACTGACAAGTGCAGAGCACATGATACAGGTACATGATACATGACACATGATACACTGTGTGGTAGCACAGGGAGACACAATAAACCTGATTTTTAATCCACACACACGCAGGAGCTCCCAGTATACCACAAGTTTGCATTATAACATCAATGCAAACTAGTAAATAGCCCACAGCAAAATCTGTGCACAGCAAAATGTCAAAACAAAAGGCAATGAAATAATGAACATCATAGTGAAAGGAAGGGAAAACAATGTTAAAAAACAAGCAACCTCAGTAAGACACTCTGGGAAAAAAAGAGAGGAAATCTAGCTGAATGGGGTGTCTGGCAACAAAGATTCCATACTGAGGAGGGAGGGTGAAAGAGCTAGCAGCCTAGCTGAGCCATGAACACATAGCCCTTTAGACATCATTTTCTCTTTCTGTCTTTTACAGGCAAGTTTTTTGGTTTCAAATGCCAAAACCTAGGCGCTGAAAATTAGAGATGATAGTAGTTTATTAACATTTGCCCAGGCTCCCACAGAGTAGGAGAGTGGACCAGCACCTTGCTGTTCTCTACTGAGCCGCACTGCAGATGGGAGCCTACGACCTACATCACTTTAACCGGAGGACACAGAACACGCGTTTGCAGATGAGAAACGATGCTCTCATATGGTGTCTTACAAGACAAAAACATGAACGTCAACTCTGTCTTGGTGACGGGGCTGCAGGCTTAATCCTGTAGTCCTTCATAGCTTATTGTGACCTACTTTGAATTTTTAAAGGAATATACCAGATCACTTTAAGACAATGTAAAGACAGTAATAAAAATATATTAGTAAAAGACTTATAGCTGGAGCAATTGTCTCTTATGTCTGATATATTCCAAAAATGGCTTTTGGGAAGGACTAGGTTAGGATTTCCACCAAAAAGATACAGAATACAGAAACAAGGGAAAATAAAGCATAGAAATTTGGGAACTTTAATTTTTTAAATGTTACTTAACAAGACTTTATATGAGAATTTACAGAACTATAAGAAAGTCATGGTTAACAAGAAATGGTATCACTGATTAAACAAATTCTAAGGACCACTACCACACACATGTTCTTGGGCCGAGCCAATAATCTCATGTTGTTACATCTTTTTTTTTTTTTAATTATTTTTTTGGTTTAATATATTTGATCTTTAAAAAGGAACTATTAGAGGTACTACAAGAATCAGGACCTGAGTTTGGTTACATGTTTGTAAGCCAGCACTTGGGGGCAGACAGGTGGATCTCTAAAAATGACTAGCCAGCATAGCTAAGTGAGGGAGCTTCAAGAACAGGGAGGGGCCCTGTCTCAACAATACAGGTGAGGGCCAACAAGGTGACTCAGTGTAAGGGGGCTTGCCACCAAGCCTAACAACTTGAGTCCATCCCCGGGACTACAGGGCAGAAACAATTGACTCTTCCAAGTTGTCCTCTGACCTCCATCAGCTTAGTGGTATGTATACATGTAGAGACACACACAATAAGTAAATAAATACATCAGTAAATAATTTTGGGTTTTTAATGTGTTCTTAAGTGAAATAAAATTATATCACCTTCCCTCCTCCCTTTGCTTCTTCTCACTCCTCCCAACAACTTGCCCATTCCCCAGACTCTCAAGTTGGTAGCCTGTTTTCCTTCTGTTGTTACGTACTCATGCACAAACACGGACACACATATAAAGACAACTTGCTGAGTCCATTTTTGCCATTTCTGTGAATGTGGCTTCACAGCTAACCTTCTGCATTAGACAGCGAATAAGGAGACTCATCCATGGGCGAGGCTAATTCTACTCCCAAGAGTCATTGGTTGTCTACAACTGCTGACTACAGGTGGAACCCCAAAGATGTATCTATAGCACAGCTTCTACATCAATGGCGTAGGGAACATCCCAGAAGCCAGGGAAGACATATTTTAACAGCCAGACTATCAGGAAATCTGCTATGAAACTCTCGTAGAAAGGAAGGCATAAACATGACAGGAACAACAGCAAGATCAACGGACGTCCAATGTGTAGTGGGCAGGGGGAGTTTTGTAGTGTCCCACTCCAAGAAACATTGCCAAAAAAAATATGGAGAAGCCATTGGGGGATGGGAAGCACCCCAGGTCAACCTCTGGTGTGAATACACACACTCCTCCACACATACATACACACATGCACACATACACAACTAAAGGAGATTACTTTCCATGGTCAAAAGGTACATAAAGCAACAATGGCCCAACTGTCCCACATTATCTAACACTCTAAAAATGCAGGAGAAACTAAATGGCATTTGACTGCATTGAAGAGATATTCTCAGCTGCCAGCAGCTACATCTCAGTAATCCTTAACTCTATTTCTCATAGAGCCAATACTAGATATCACTTTGTGAATAGAATCATTCACTAGGTATGAAAAATAAACAAGGCATAATCACAAGTTTTGTTAAATCCAATCCCAGCACTCAGACTACAGAAGAAGTTTGAGGCTGGCCTGGGCTATGTAGGAAAGCAGACTATGTCTCTTAAGGGGGTGGTGGAATCGCAGAGAAGGGGGGAGCTGAAAAGCAGAACAATTTTTCCTGAAGATGAATACTACCACTTTGCAGTATCTTCTTAAAGGCAACTGGGAGGAAAACAATATTTCAAGGGTACCCTGAAAGGCGACTGACAATGAGCAATACTGAGGATGTGAGTGTAAGCCTCTTTCCAACTGCTTTGCAAATCAAACTCTATGCAACCAGTCCTAACCTATGTGAAAATCATTCTCATGAATTATTGCCAAGCTGGAAACAGTGGAAGTCAGGTCCCTTGAGACCATGAGTAAGCTCTATAAACCATTTTTAAATGCCCAAGGACTTCAGGACTTCCCACACGTCATCCAATCTATACAACAAAAATAAAAAAGAGAAGAAACCAGGAAAAGGAAGAGAAAAGGAAAGATGAGAACTGAGACCATGGTATGGTTAAGAAAAACTAGCCCCAGTTTTTTGCTGTATTATACCTTTGGTATTTGTGATCTGTTTTGTTTTAGCTCTGCTTCTGCTAAATAACCCTGTTTTAGCACACTCATCAGCATGATCAGGGGCCACACTAATGCCAATAAAGACAACGTGAGAAGTCATAGTGTTGCTCTGGGGCTATTTCTGGTATTTATTAAATATCTAGAAAGCTTTGGAATAAGTACGCCAATATTTTCTTTATCTTTACTATCTCTGTGATCTAAATCTTGAAACAAATCTAAAAGGTATTTTTAGTGACAGGCTGACAAGATAAAAGAGAAACTCAGAATGAAGAAACATGCAGTACTTCCTTTGGGTTATATAAAGTTAGGAGCTGTGAGCATCAATTTTCTACCTATCATTATAATTATGAAAACTCTTCAAATACGGCAACTTATTAGAAGACAACTTCACCAATAAACAGATGCAGGGGGAGAGCTGATACATATCTATTTTCAAATGTGCCATCTATGTTTGATCTAATTTGCATAATTATAATTAGAATTAAGTTATTTCCTTTCATGAGGTCCTTTTCTTTGATTTTTAATATATTCTGATAATTAGCTCATCTATGCTAAATAAAAGACACACAGGAAATGGCAGCTGCCTGCTTTTGCTTCATCCATGGCCACCACATATTTATGAGCACCCCACAACTCCGATTGCTGGAGCCATCACAGAGCTACCTCAGGCAAATGGCTACAGCAATGGAACTCTGAAGCATTCCAAAGATCCGCCACATTCGCCCCAAAATGAATCACTGCTGTCTCAGAGAAGAAAACCCTTTTTGTGTGCAGGACCAAATGCAACTTCAAGTTTAAGAACAGCAAAATTTTCACTATGAAATAACGAAGGAAACTAATAAGATTCCTCATTTCAGAGTCCCAAGAGAAAATCCAAGCTCTAAGGAGGTGCTATATTGAAATCAACCACAAAAAATTAGTTTAATTTTACATTATTCACCTCCCAAACTAGCTCTCAAAATAATACAACTTTTGATTAAAAATTGTTTAAGTGATTCTAGTAAATAAAATTAAAATGTAGATTAAAGGTAGGACATCACCTCTACTTGTGCTGCCAAAGTTGCTTTCTCCTGGTCCTTCCGTTCCAGGCACCGCTTCATTTCCTCTAACTCGGAAGCCATGGCGTTGAAGTTCAGCTGCACTCGCAGCTCAGCCATCTGATTCTCCAGACTCTGCTTTTCCCGCTCTACTCCTTCAGAGGTAAAGGTCAAGTTGCGTGGTTACTCTCTAGCCAGAGGAAAACTTACTTTCCAACAGTTACCATTCAACCTTTGTGTCTGAACATCCTAGCTAACATAATCCACTCCACGAGCGTTGCAGACCTCTCCAGCGTGTCGTCTTGAGCCTCATGTTTTCAGCATCACACATTTCACTCCTTAGCCTTCCGCTAATCAAGTACAATATCAAGTCTTATATAGTTTTCAAAACTGCATAGGCTGCTACGCCATCCTATTTGGTGTCATAATATTTTCAGTGTTTTCTAATTTCTATTACAACTTATTTCAGGACACTCCTATACTTTTTGTTCACTACATTTCTCACATGTCTACATTACTTGCAAACTTTTAAACAGAAACACTGAATTCAACCAGGATGCTATATACTGATGCTACAGAAACTTACACAGTAAAATGTTGTTCTTACATAGAAAAAGTTCTCCTCAGTTTCTGTAAGACTGACTACTCTCCCTATTCACTAATTCTCCATAATTCTGAAGGCTATACCTGAAATTAAAACGCTGAATAATATATATTTATCATTTAATTCAACATAAAATGCTTGGTCAATGAAACAGAGAACATTTTATCGTGTTCTTCACATATGAAGATGGACAACATAAAAATCCACTATAAATGGGCTTGCAATACAAGAATGAAAAAACACACAAAATGCTATCTTTACTCTGAAAGATTAGCAATTATAATATATACTAATAATTTCACACTACCATTTTTCAAATAATATTCTTTCTAGAAAAGAAATAAAGTAAATATGATCAAATCAGATTTGTAAATAATTTACAAAAATACATTCCAACTTGAGAAATAGTAAAGGGCTCAAAACTACACAATGAAAGAGAAGACAAACAGGCTCTTCAAAAGCCTAAGAACAGCCTTATGGATGACAATAAAAAGGACACAGTGAGAATGGGGAACTAAGCTATACTTACACAATAGATACAGATTTCACTAACATAAGCCAGAAAAGAAATAATTTCAGATGTTACTTTGTGTTTTAGGCTGAAGTATCTGGAATGAGGAGTGAAAACATCAGCCAAGATAAGGAGAAAAAAAAAGGTCTTTTCACATTTTACTTAGAAAATACTAGATTTCAGCAAAACCTTATTTATACAATACCATGAACAAATGAAGAAAATTTTAATGTTTGCTTTCAATTTCTGCACAAAGACAATTCGACAATGTAAACTGGAATAATTCCGTCCAGAGTTGACAACACAGTTTCCAAAAATCAAATACTTTAACCACATGAACATATGAAGATGAGTAATAGCAATATGTTTTCTGTCAAATAGGAGCAACTTTTTTTAGCTATTGATAAAATATTATTGAGAATTCCAGCAGAAAGGAAGGAAGGAAGGAAGGAAGGAAGGAAGGAAGGAAGGAAGGAAG